ACTTGGAGGAACAGGCTGGCAAAAAGGAGCCTCTCACTTTCCTAAGTTGCTGGCTGAATTAGTGTGCACTGATTAAAATGACCAGATGCTAGGACAATCTTTACATGGAGGTGAGCGTGAAAAAATTCAGGTAGGGTAATAAAAGGGTTTGTTAATCATAATCATAGAATGGCCTAGGCTGGAAGGGACCTTAGAGATCATCTAGTAGAACCTGCCTGCCATGGGCAGGGACGCCTCTCAACTAGATCAGGATACTCAAGGACCGGGCTTTGCCCCCCTCCAGGGAGGGGACAGCCACAATGTGTCTGGGCAATTTATTCCAAAGTCTTGCCACCCTCGTACTGAAGAATTTCTTCCTAAGATCTAATCTAAATCTAGTCTCCTTCAACTCAAACCCATTTCCCCTTGTCCTATCAGCGGACACTCTTGTAAAAAGTCCCTCCCCAGCCTTCCTGTAGGTTCCCTTCAGGTACTGGAAGGCAGCTATTAGGTCCCCCCGAAGTCTTCTCTTTTTCAAGACTGAACAATCCCAGCTCCCGCAGCCTGTCCTCGTAGCAGAGGTGCTCCAGCACCTGGATCATCCTTGTGGCCTCCTATGAACACGCTCCAACAGATCCATGTCCCTGTTTGGTGGGGGCACCAAAACTGAACGCGGTATTTGAGGTGGGGTCTCACAAGAGCAGAGTAAAGGGGGAGAATCACCTCTCTTGACCTGCTGACCACGCTTCTCTTGTTAGATCCCAGGATGCGGTTGGCCTTCTGGGCTGCCTGAGCTCATGTTGAGCTTCTCATCTATCAACACCCCCAAATCCTTCTCTTCAGGGCTACTCTCAACCCACTCTGTGCCCAGTTTGTATTTCTGCCTGGGATTAGCCTGGCCCAGGTGCAGGACCTTGCATTTTGACTTGTTGAAGCTCCTGCAGTTTGCACTGGCCCGTTTCTCAAGCCTGTCAAGGTCCCTCTGGATGGCATCTCTTCCCTCAAGTGAGTCCACGGCACCACACAGCTTGCTGTGAAAACTTTGTCTCTCCTGTGTTCAAGTACTTCATGATTAGCTTCCAGAGCCCATTTTGAAGCTGTTTCGTGTTTTCTAACAGAGTCTCCTAGAAGAGAGGAACTTGTAGGAGCCTTGTTGCCCTTTAAAAGAACAACTGATACTGCTGTTGCTAGTTGCAGAATAAGCAACTTTGATGTTTTCATTATATTAGGTGCATCTGTCTTTCTAAGACTTCTGCGAGTGTCTTTTAAAAATAATTCTGAAATAGTGGTTAGTCGCTACCAGCATATCTGGAAATTCTAAAGGAAGAAGGAAGGAGCTCTGTAACAAATGGGAATTTATTTGAAAATTACAAGCAGTAGATGTGGTTGAACTGAGGCAATATCTGGAATTTCTTGAGATTCTTAGTTATGTAGATTGAAACTTCTGTTTGTGTGCAGGTATTGTTCTGTTGCTGTCTTCTACTTGGGCTTACTGCAGACAACAAACATTATTATCTCCTTTTTCTTTTTTTTTTTTTCTTTTTAGTGGTCATGCACATGTCTTAGCTGGCAATAATAGGAACATCCAGTGTCATTTTCACCAGAACGAAGAGCAGCTTGAGCCATGCAGCCTAAGATACTTTCTAAAGAGATTGGCTCAAGGTCAGGATTGAGAAATCCTGGTTGGACAACATGATTGCAGTGAACTGAACTGCTATGGTTTGTACCTGTCCTGTAGGTAAACAACTTCAGGCTCTAGTGTTGCCAGGCCCCTGTTAGGAGTAATAATTCATGGGAAGGGGCTGACTCTTCCTCCCTGCTTTCACACACCGTACAGAGATTTAAGCAGTTTTTTGTTATTGTGCATTTTGAAGGTATGTTTGCCCATGGGTTTGCTTTTTTAATATGGTGAATTAAAATCAAATATTAGCAAGATTTAGTAATACTTGGAAGTGTTATTAAATTGGCAACGTCTCTTGAACATTCGGGAGACTGTGGAGTGCTTTACTGCTAACTGCCACAGAGGACTGGCTGAGGGTTTCAGCTTTGTGCAAGTGATTGCAGGCTGCTTTTCACCCCTTGGAGAGAGTGAGCTCCGAGTCTAGTAAACAGCTGCACGGTATTACAGTGATGCATACCACATATTCCTCAGCTTCCACATGCTTGTGCATCAGATCTGTTCCAGCACATGACTGAGATGTGTAATTCCTAGTAATTAATTTCTCATCTTTCTCAAGAAAGCAGAAAAGAAATGTAATTGCTGTCTTCTATGTATGCTTTTAAAATTTAGCTTAGTTATATGACCTTTCAAGGTCCCTTCCAACCCAATGCATTCTATGATTCTATTAAGCCTTACCTAGTCGTTCATCTCGCCTGATGTCTTTTGCAAGGACCACCAGATTTCTTCCTTCCCTTCCAATCTAGTTCTACAGAATCACAGAATGTTAGGGGTTGGAAGGGACCTCTGAAGATCATCTAGTCCAACCTACCTAGCAAAACAAGAAAAAAGATGTTTCCGCTGAGAGTTGATCAATGATTGTGGTGATCATGTGAATAATAGAATCTACAAAGAAAATATTTTATGCAGATGTGTATATTGGATTCATACCCATTCCAAATGTATGATAGTTCTTTTACGCAGCCGGCTTAGAAGCCTGTTAACTTTTTTGTTTTCATTAAAGCCAAAGGCTTGTAGACGCTCTTAGGAGTTTAAGATTCTCAACACTCGTGATAAAAGAACAAAGTGATCCACATATACTCTTTATATACAGAAATATTTGAGAAATCTTCTTTTCCTGCATGGCAACATGGATGTGTAGGATTCTGCTGAATTATCAAGCCACGTATTCTTATCTCAAGCACAGTGATAGACTATCCTCTGTTATGTTGTCTTTATATCCTACTTGCTTATTGTGCAGGGGAGGTGGGAAAGTCCTGTGCTGAGAGCGCTGCAGAGCCTTGTGCTGTCCTGCTCCCTCAAGAACAGCGTGGCTTCTCGCATGGGTGGGATTCATGGGGGAAGAAGTCATGTTATCGAAGATTAGGGAAGCTGATTTCCCGAGACTCCCTCTACTCTGGAAGGAGAGGAGAAAGGAGCCCAAAGGAAGAGCTGAATTTCAAATAATTCTTGCATGCATACTTTGCACGCAGCTTTTTTGAATATCTCTTTGACATCTGACATCTCTTGGGGAGGGGAAATGGGACAAGACTGTGAGTGAGTCATCACCAGAAACGTTCATACCTGTCAGACTGCGTGATTAGTGTGGTAATCTCTGAGGTGGGCTTTGATCCTGAAGCCAGGGTGTGTATATGTGCCATGAAGAAATGTGAGACAAACTTGTTTTTAAAGACAATAATGGAAAACAATACCACAGAAGTATGGAGTGAAGTAGGCTTTACTCTGGTTTATGTTTCAAGAGGTAGTGAGCGTTCATCTCTTCAATTGCTTAAACATAGCTTAGTGTTCTAATAATTTCTGTCCTGAGTCTCAAGTAATGTATTCAAGACCTTGTACTCTAGAAATGATTGGCATGCCAGCCCTTAAGTATAAATTTAACTTCTGCCAGTGAGTGAATTCTAATTCCAGTTGTATTTATAGTAGTTCATCAGTGAAACAAACTGTACCAGGAACAAGATTTCTGTTTCTTTGGCTGAAAAAGTTTTGATTGGTGACATCTGAAGAGGAACAAATGGGGTAGAGTGACAAATCAAGTTATAAAGATACTGTTTTGAATAGATTTAAGCAGAGCGGTGAGAGACTTAGATGTGACATAAATTGAGAATGACAAAAGAGTGTGGACCAGAATAAGCTTTCCCTAGAGTGGTCAATTTACTGCTTGCTGGCTGTATCTAATATAGTGAAATAGTTAATGTGGTTTGTGGCCCACTCTTTATTATCCCCTTTGTTTAAATCCTGTAGCTCTTTGTCAAATAGTCAAAATTATATCCATTGCTTAAGTAAAACATAAATAACCTGTTGGATATGACAGGGCTGGATATGTGTGGAAAGTGATGGGGATGCAGGCATTTTGGTCAAGACCAGCTCTGCTGCTTTGAGTTAAATTGGCAACAATATGTATGCAACTCAGAACTGGCTGGTCAATTTATGTTGAATAGGGGCCCAAGCCCCTAGGAAAGTGGTGTGCGAAGGCCTACTGCGGCTCAAAATTTTAATTTCCTCTTTGTGTCTGGTTATTGCATTTTTTTCCCCTTAAGTCTCTGGTTACTGAAATGGTCTTTTGACTGATGTTTTAAGTTTTGGTGTTTTTTTTTTTTTCCCTAATGTGAGTAATATTTGGACTGACAATTCTCAGATGAAATCTGTGGAGCGCTTCTAGTCCTGTGTGTTGTCCGTGTAGCCATATGTCATGCAGCTCAGAACCTGTTTGTTTATTTAATGATTCTCATTCTAATTTTGCTTGGGGCTATTCTTAATGAATGGAAAGCAAAAGATCAGAATAGAGCAAAGGGTAAAGATCTGATGACAACCTGTGGAGTTGTGTTACGTTCTGTTAATAATAGATACGCAGGATTTAGTCTAGGAAAATTTATATGATAATCCAGTAATATAATCAAATCTTAATTCATTGGGATATAAAAAGCTTCTCTTGGTTAAAACTGAGTACAAGTAGAATTAACTTGGTTCATTTTGATGAAGATGCTTTAAATATACCTGGCACTTTCATAGCTAGGATTTTATCTACAAAATTTTAGGGGCAAATAAGAATAAAAGACCCAGACTCTTCAAAATGTGGCTTGTATTTTTTGCATTGCTTTAAGTGCCTGAATCTCAGAAAATTAGAATAAATGATTAGATAGGTACTGATCTTAATGATATAGTACGTGTGTGCTGACCTGAATTTTTTCTTTTTATTTCTATTCTCTGGAGAATGTCTTGTTGATTTCTTTTCATGACTTGCTCTTAATACTCTTTTGATTGCTAGATTATAAATAGCTTCAGCTAAATATATTTCTAATGTATCCAGGTGAAAAACATGTATTTATGTTATGCTTTCTTGCAGGGGCTGGTGTTTTTTTCCTTTCTTGTGCCGAAGGAGAGCAGATCAGCTTTCTGTTCGACTGTATCGTCCGTGGTATCTCCCCGACGAAAGGCCCTTTTGGTTTGCGTCCAGTCCTACCAGGTTAATATAGGAAGTATAGAGTAACCAAGCAAAGTAGGAACTTGCCATGTCTAGCACCGATTGCTGTGATTATAAGAACAGCTTGCAGACGTTAAGGGTGCAGAAAGTGCAAAATGGTTTTCGTTCTGAAATGTCACAGTACAGATTTATCAGTTGAACCTGCCTAGTTTTCCCCTGCTGCTCTGGCTCATTCATATTTCTGGTGGTACTGCTAACTTTAGCCTTCTCTTATTTTACAGTACTAAAATATGGCAACTTGAGTTGGAAGGAAACCCTAACCTTTAGTTTTAAACTTACACAGTTCAACTTGGATCCACATCTGCATTACTAGTTTGGTAGTGTAATGGAAAACTGGCTTGTGGGGCATTTTGAGTTCATCCAAAACACTTAGAACTAAGTCTTGCTGATCACAGAAAACTTTGTCCAGGCCTCCACATCACATTTCTGTTTTGCAGCTTGAGCTTCTTTTCTGATGTTCAAAGATTAAATTACTTTTTCTGTTTCATGGTAAATGCTGCATGTGCTGTAATGTTCAGAGAGGAAATTAGGTGGCATCATAGTAAGCCCTGCTGCCTTTTGACTTTAGCAGATGCAGAAATATAATATTGAGTTGGAATGACTGTGTCAAACAGGGAAAGCGT